ATCTTTATAGCGAAGGGAATTGTTGGGGATATAACGCAAGTAAAATGTTAAAGACAAAGAGAGAACTTTATAAACTGAAAAAAATGACATTGTATAACCGCTGTAAAAATATAGTCGAAAATGTATAAATTTATATATATTTTGGTATATATATATACATTCTGTATGTCATATATAAATATTATACAAATTTTATATACTTTTTTGACAATCAAATATAAATATTTTCTAGAGCAGGCTAAAAGTGATAATACCCCTTTATAATTAGTGCTTCACTTAAAATACAAGACAACTTCTCTTGGTATTGTGAATGAACATGAATCCCATTTAAAAAAGAAGTTTGCGTTTGTGAGTAAAAATTACTTCTTCACTTAAAATACAATAACAATAACTGTTGTCTAAATCTCAAACACGTTGGGATTCACTATATGAGTTCTCCTCTATCATGTTGTTATATTTATTATGAAGACTCACTACAAATTCTCCTCCTTCAAAATAGGCTTGTAGGTGGACTAAGAGGGGTAATCCGAAACAGCAATGGGAATTGGGTGGTGGGATTCATGGGAAAAATAATTATACCAATATTATACGCTCTGAATTCTGAACTAACAACTTTAATGCAGAGACTAAAAATGGCAATCTCGAACAACTTTACCCCTTCGAGATTAACATAGACTCNCAGCCGTTTACTTCCAATTAATTGCTAACTCTAAATGGATCTCTTGTCTAGTCTAGAAAGGGATTCACCAGTAAAAAAAAAGGTGGAGCTAATTTTTAAAAATCTTATTTATATTCTTTTTCCTTGAGGATTGGTAAAGTTAAAAAATGGACTCTTTGGTCTAGAAAGGAATTCACCAGTAAAATAAGTGGAAGAATTTCCTTTTTTTAAATCTTATTTCTATTATATTCTTTTTTTTTAAATAACTGTGGTATCCGAGTCAGCTTGCATACACCTCAACTAGGTCCAAGGGATAGCTGCCACCTCCCACCAGCAAAAGGTACCGAGTTCCTCCTTATGTTAATGAATGAAGTCCCGAAATGATTTAAGGCATAAAAGTGTGACAATGATGATTGGGATAATATTTTATGTATGCCAAAAGAGGCTACGAACTAGTGCTATATCACACGACCATGATAATGAATATATGCGGACTGCGATATGTTAACGTGATCAATATTTAAGTGAATTGAGATAAATTTATGCGGTAATTAGTTAAATATTGGATTGGTGGGAGACATAACTTGCCCAACACCACAAATGGAGTGCTTAGCGCACAAGATGTACACATGTATAATTCATCACCTAATGTTTTTTTGCCTCTATTGGAATTTAAACATGAGACCTCATGATTCTCACCCACTTCATTGATCACTAGGCCATACCCTTAGGTATTTCTAATTATATTCTTATTCCTCGAGGATTGGTGAAGTTAGTGATCATAGGGTAAAAGATGGTCATTCTTCTTATTTTTTGGGATAAGCATATGCTTATGAATAGTAAAATGATGCAAGTAAAGTTGCAATTATTAGGTTACTATTTAGTCTTAAAAACTAGCAGGATTCAATACCTGGTGCATATTTGGGTTTCCTTTTGTTGCCTTCTTTAAAAGTCAGGAAAAGACACCGTAAATAACTGGTAGAGTCACTTTCTAACACTAGGATATGAAAATGAAAGTGATCAAGTAATATGATGATACAAATTAAAGTGCCCATGAAGACAGAAGTTTAATGAGGTGGAATAGACAAATGCTTAGATGTGGAAACTTGAACATCTAAAAAGTTTGTCTCCTAGTCTTATTCAAGAGCTGATAAATAAAGTAGCAGGTTGGAATAAAAAAATCTAATACAGTTGTAATAAAGAAATCAATACATTTTGCTTAAAGAATGGGCCAGTAAACAGCAGCAACCTCCTCTCACCTTTTCACACTCCTACCTGCCCTTCCTATATTCTTTCTTTCTTATAGAAAGACTTGCTTGATGTCTCATTTTACCTCAATTTCACGAAAACAATGATCCCTTTTCTTTGGTTAATACTTCTAACACACATTAGATGGGTCAATACCGCAGATCTAGCAAATGTTTCAACTTCACTTGTCCAAAACATATTCATATTAGCCGGACAAAGTAACATGTCCGGCCGAGGTGGTGTCACTAACCATGGCCAAAATGGCATAGTTAATGAAACATGGGATGGTACAATTCCACCAGAATGTCAATCCAACCCAAATATCCTCAGACTTAGTGCAGGATTTACATGGGTTGAAGCTCAAGAACCACTTCACCAAGACATAGATTTGGGTAAAGTTTGTGGGGTTGGGCCAGGAATGTCATTTGCAAATTCAGTTCTTGAGAAAGATCCAAGCTTTGGAGTGATTAGTTTGGTGCCTTGTGCTATTGGGGGTACAAATATAAGTGAATGGGTTCGTGGGGGTGTTTTGTATAATCAGATGATAAGAAGGACAGAGGCTGCGTTGCAAGGAGGTGGGAAGCTCCAAGCTTTGCTATGGTACCAAGGTGAGAGTGATACCCAGACTCTTGAGGATGCCAAATTGTACAAATTTAGATTGAAGAGATTATTCAAGAATGTGCGCCGTGATCTACAGTCACCTACTTTGCCTGTGATTCAGGTAATTCAAAAAAATATCTTTAGTCATTCAAACATTAGTTGGCAAAAGTTTTTTACTAGTAAACTTTTTCCTACATTTTTTATAAATATTTTATTATAAAAAAGTTTAAACTTAAGGTACGTTTTATTTTAAATATAAAATTTTAAGTAAGCATCTAAGGATTATTCTTGATTTAAGACGTAAAATAATTGATTTGACGCTCATACTTTCAACATCACTTTTTATTAATTACATCTGGGACGGAGGGATTCAGTTAGCAAGTTTTGGGTGTACCGCATGAAAATTCGAGGTAGCCTAGAATGGTTGCTTTCTTTCTTTTTCGGAAAACCCAAGTTGCTTTAAAGATAAGGAGATCAAATTCAGTGCAGTGCAACTCTTTTTAATGTCATTATTGGAGTTAGTTAAGAGTGGTCCATGTCTTATTGTATTTATTAAGGCAAATTGAATACTACTTTGGTTAGTAATTTATTTGGTTGGTGTGGGTGTAGGTAGCACTGGCATCATCTCTAGGGCCTTATAAGGAGCAGGTTAGAAAAGCTCAATTGGGCATTAATCTTCCAAATGTAAGAACCGTTGATGCCAAAGGGCTCCCAGTGGGGATGGATTACGTGCACATTATCACACTAGCACAAGTTCATCTTGGGCAGATGCTGGCTGATGCCTTCCTTCAGACTCAGACTACTCAAGCCGTGCTTCTGCCTATTCAGACAGAGACTACTCAGACTAGTAATGCCCCCAAACGATGCTCCAATTTTGTTTTGGATGTTCTACTTGGTCCATTTAGATGATGCAGCTTGGAGATTTATTTGTGGGATCAAGATCACGTACCCCGTCTATGGTTGTCTCACCTCAGCCAAAATTTCAGAGCGCTTAAAACTATAGGTTGGGATCATACCAAATCAACAAATAGTTTCTTAGATATTGTTAACAGGAGTACAAAGTTACCATACTACATGATACTCAAAACTAAGACAAGGCCAACATATATATCTCATAACGTTGGATAATGAACATAATCTTCCAAGTGGACATGGAGCACCGGCACCTGCTTGGTCACACTCTATTCACTTCGTTTAATTACACTTTCCCAAAAGGCACAAACCAAAAAATTAATTTCATTTTTATAAAGCTCAAGTCTTGATGTATGTATAATTCGCACACTTGCACATACAGTATATATGTGTTGGTGAATATTTATTCAATTCATGGTTCCACTTTCTGATGATTCTTTGTTTTTCTCCTTAAATAAGGCCTGTGATTGATTGGTTATGCTTCTCTGCGGCATTACGCTGAGGAGTAAAAGAGTCCGATATGATGTACTAAAGCTTCCAACTTTTGCACCAATGAAGTATTGGATATTAATCCTGCTTCTTTAGTACTGATTAACCTCGGAAGATTGACAATACATTATTATCTCTTCCGACGAGAGATCATTTGCTTTTGCTTGCTAATTTAATAAGGTTGGACTAACATAATCACTCCCAAAGAAGGAAAGTAGTCCCGTTATGTGATAATTAAAATCAAAGCGGTTGTTGCCTCCGCAGACATATAAATGAAGGCACCGGCGTTGAATATCTGTACTAGTAGTATCATTTGAAATGTGTATACGGTCAAAATCGGGCTTGCCCTGGAACATGGCAGGTCAAGGTTCGACCGCATGTTATATCGGACCGTGGTATATAGATAGATTGCCGAGCTCGTGACCCAAAGATCGATAGAGATCGAGGTCGGCTAAGATCGAAACCAGGCAGGACGGAGATCGAGCAAGATCGAAGGAAGCTTACCGAGCCAAATAACGGAAAGCCGAGCTGCAATCTGACGAGGATCACAACTGAAATCTCGGTACGTATCAAAAAAGGCTGGTTAATTAGCTAATCATGGGATTTCTTACTGTATTTAGAAATATATCAAGGGTAGGACTCCCCTACTATATAAAGGGGAGCTGATCATTTGTAAAAGGAACACATTTTTTATGCAATACAAAGGAATATACTACCTTTCTCTTAAGCTCTCAATACTCTGTTACTTTGTTCATATTTTCCAGTGGAATATTCATTTGGTTCGAGGGCGACCTAGCTAGAGGGCCAAAGATATACATTTCCTTTTATTTGCTTTTATTTCTATTTACAGTCAATATCAATTTACGTTTTTTCTCAGTTTGTACCAAGTAAAGTCACATGTCCTTTAAACTACATATAAATTCAATTGTTATCTGTTTTTAGGGTAAACGATTTGGCGCCCACCGTGGGGCTAAGAATAATAATGGTTACCTGTTATAAAATTTAGTAACACATACTATTTTACACTTGTTCTTTGAAGTACCTTTGGTCACATGATTGAAAAATGTCAAACTCTCGGTCAGCACCTCGACACATTGACAATGATCCCGGCCACCATGGCGAAAATGAGAACATTGCACCAGAAAACGTTGTACCCCCTGCTGGCCTCGATGGAATTCCGGTTGTAGATCCAATCGACGTTAGTTCACATGTAGCCATCAATGGAAACTTGGTCGTCGATCCCGAAAGCAGCGTCCCCGGGGATGCCCGATCAGCTACTCAGAGCGCACGTGGTGGTGAAGATGGCGGGATCAACTTGCGGGTAATCTTCAAAATGTTGCAGGCTCAACAGGCAGCAATAGCCCAGCTCCAAAGTCAGATCCACATACCGAGCAGGGTCGAACACGAACCATCCCGGGAATCAAACACAGGGTCGAATCGGCTTCGAAGAGGTCGAACGTGAAGCAATCGGAGACCAACCCTGCTATCATAAAAATGCTTGAAGAATTGACAAAGCGAATCGAGACAGGGGAAAAGAAGATCGAGGAAAACGACAAGGTCGAAACCTATAATTCCAAGGTCGACCAGATTCTAGGGGCACCACCAATATTGAAAGGACTAGATTCTAAAAAGTTTGTACAGAAACCTTTCCCCCCGAGTGCAGCTCCGAAGCCAATCCCCAAGAAGCTCCGTATGCCTGAGATTCCTAAATATAATGGGACGACTAATCTAAACGAACACGTCACCTCCTACACGTGTGCTATCAAAGGAAATGACTTGGAAGATGATGAGATCAAATCCGTCTTGCTAAAGAAATTTGGGGAGACTCTATCGAATGGTGCTATGATATGGTATCATAATTTACTGCCTAATTCTATTGACTCGTTTGCTATTATTGTAGATTCTTTCGTAAAGCACACGCCGGGGTCATTAAGGTCGCAACTAGGAAGTCGGGCCTTTTCAAGGTAAGGTAGAAGGACAACGATATGCTCAGAGAATTCATATCTCGATTCCAAATGGAAAGAATGGATTTGCCACCGGTCACCGACGATTGGGCCGTTCAAGCTTTCACTCAAGGTCTCAACGTTCGAAGTTCAGTGGCTTCACAGCAGTTGAAGCAGAATTTGATCGAATACCCAACTGTCACTTAGGCCGATGTGAACAACCGGTATCAATCGAAGATCAGGGTCGAGGATGATCAACTGGGGCTTCTTCTGGGTCCGTTTATCCTATCAGACCCGTAGATAGAATCAAGAGGGATATCGACCGAGAAGTAAGGTCGAATAGAGATCGATATCAACCGTATAATGGAGACCGTAGATGCAGTGGATCTCGGCGAAATTCCGCACGAAATGAGAGGACAAATGATCCAGGTCAAAGTTCACGGGGACTTATGAGTAAAAACGGCTTGGATAGATCTATTGGTCCCAAAGAAGCACCACAATTTCCGGAGTACAATTTTAATGTGGACGCAACTACCATCGTATCGGCCATTGGATGCATCAAAGATACCAAGTGGCCTCTACCTTTGCAAATTGATCCAGCACAAAGGGATCCCAACCAAATATGCAAATATCATGGCACACATGGCAACAAGACGGAGGATTGTTGGCAACTGAGGGAGGAAGTAGCCCATTTGTTCAACGACGGTCATCTTCGAGAATTTCTGAGTGACAGAGCTAAGAACCACTTCAGAAACAAAGATTCCAACAAACAAAACGAACAAGACGAACCCCAGCACATCATTCGGATTAAAAAATGCCGGTGCTACTTATCAACGACTAGTAAACCAAATTTTCGAAAAACAAATACGAAAAACCATAGAAGTTTATATTGACGATATGCTAGTTAAGTCCCTGCGAGCAGAGGACCATTAAAGCATTTGTAGGAAACCTTCAGTATACTAAAGAAGTACAACATGAAGCTGAATCTAGAAAAATGTGCACTCGGGGTCGGGTCCGGCAAGTTTCTCGGATTCATGGTGTCCAATCGGGGAATCGAGATCAACCCCGATAAGATCAAAGCAATCGAGGATATCACGGTAGTAGATAATGTGAATGTTGTGCAAAGGCTAACTGGGCGCATTGCAGCCCTAGGTCGATTTATCTCGAGGTCGTCCGATAGAAGTCATCAATTCTTCTCGTAGTTGAAAAAGAAGAACAACTTCACATGGACCCCAGAATGTCAACGAGCTTTAGAGGAACTTAAGTGATACTTATCGAGCCCACCATTGCTTCACACGTCGAGGGCGGACGAACGATTGTACTTGTACCTAGCGGTATCGAATGTAGCGATTTGTGGAGTCCTAGTCCGAGAAGAACAAGGTACGCAATTTCCGATTTATTGTGACAGCAGGACCTTAGGTGAGGCCGAAACTAGATACCCTCACCTAGAAAAATTGGCACTCGCCTTGCTAAGTGCCTCTAGGAAACTGAAACCATATTTTCAGTGCCATCCTATATGTGTTGTGAAAACCTACCCTTTTCGAAATATAATGCATAAACGCGAACTCTCGGGACGATTGGCCAAATGGGCCATCGAAATCAGCGGGTGTGATATCGAATATCAAACCCGAACGGCCATTAAATCCCAAATTTTGGCAGATTTCGTAGCCGACTTTACGCCGATCCTGATACCCGAAGTCGAAAGGGAGTTGTTGGTAAACTCGAGAACATCTTCGGGAATCTGGACCCTCTTTACGGACCGTGCCTCGAACATAAAAGGGTCCGGACTTGGCATCGTACTAAAGCCTTCCACGGGCAATGTATTTGGATAATCTATTAGAATTGTAAAATTGACTAATAACGAACCCGAGTACGAGGCCATGATTGTAGGTCTCGAACTAGCCAAAGGCTTGGGAGCGCAGGTGATTGAGGTTAAATGTAACTCCCTCCTGGTGGTAAACCAAGTAAATGGAACATTCGAGATACGGGATGAACGAATGCAAAGGTACTTGGACAAGCTACAGGTAACGTTACATCGTTTCAAGGAATGGACTTTGCAGCACGTGCCCCGAGATCAAAACAGTAAAGTCGATGCCCTCGCTAACTTAGGGTCGTCGGTTAAAAACAACAAGCTCAACTCGGGGGCGGTCGTACAACTTATGAGGTCGGTAGTAGAAGAAGGTCACGCCGAAATAAACTCCACAAGCTTGACTTGGGATTGGAGAAATAAATACATTGAATATTTGAAAACCTAAAAACTTCCCTCAAATCCAAAGGAATCGAGGACCCTGCGCACAAAGCCAACCCGATTTAGCTTGTCCGGAGATGGAAACTTACTCAGGAGGACGTTCGACGCCCCTCTAGCAATATGTCTGGGATCGGGAGATACCGAATATGTTTTGAGGGAAGTCCATGAAGGCACATACGGGAACCACTCAGGCGCTGAATCATTGGTTCGAAAGGTAATAAGAGCCGGCTATTACTAGGTCGATAAGGAAAAAGATGCGAAGGAGTTTGTGCAAAAATGTGATAAACGTCAAAGACATGCTTCGATGATTCATCAAC